GGTATGGATGGGGAGAGGGTATGAGAGCTGGGCACGTGGCTGAGAGCACATTTTCCAGGAAGATTCCCCTAAACAAAGGGAGGTGGAGTCAGCTAGAAAGTCAGCCCAATTTTTTTTTAATGGCTCAGTGGGAGACAGCAAGACTAGGCAACTATTAGGAAACAGGTGACCAAATAGTACTCAGCCAATGAGGAACCGGAGGAGGGACTAAATAGGCTATGATCCCTGCCCCAGGTGTGTTCCTGCACAATGGGTGCCTGCTCTGGAGAGCGCTATTAAAAGTCTCCTTTCACCCTAACCGGTTTGGCTCAGTGGATAGAGCGTCGGCCTGCAGACTCAAGGGTCCCAGGTTTGATTCCGGCCAAGGGCATGTACCTTGGTTGTGGGCACATACTCAGTAGGGAGTGTGCAGGAGGCAGCTGATCGATGTTTCTCTCAACTCTCTATCCCTCTCCCTTCCTCTCTGTAAAAAATCAATAAAATGTATTTTTAAAAATAAAATAAAAATAAAAGTCTCCTTTCGCCATGCTTCTGTTTCCCAGTCTGTCATGGGAAATTCGGACAGGTGAGCCATGTCTCACACCATGATGAACAAATTACAGTCTTTTAAATAAAAACAGGGTAATAAATGGCACCACGCCAGGTCATCTTGGAGCCCAAGGCAATAGAAGTCAGTGATATCCACCCATTGTTAGGAGCTGAAAGTTCTGGAATATGCAGAGATCAGATGGTTGCCCAGCTGGGTCCTCTGGTGGCAACATTTTGTTTCTACACCTCCTTGTGCTGGGGGAGCCACAAGTTGTCAATCAAGGATGCCGCAAAGAACGTGCTGTATTTGGGGCTTTTAATTCTTCCCTTAAACCAGGCAGCTGTGCGCAAGGCTGTTTTCCTGGGAAATCACTCCCTCTGAGGGTTACAACTCCTGGTGAGCATGAACGTGCGAGAAATGCATCACTAATGGTGGACACCAGCGCCTTCCCCTTGGGTGGGACCCTAGACACACTTTATTCACAGATGACGGAAGGCGAGGCTCACTCATTACAGAAATGCTCGTTCAAGGCTCTTCACGTCTACAATATTGATGCTGTCGTGCGACAGGGAAAAGACCCTCGATGGCGCCATGGGGACAGGCTGTGCATGAACGGACTTACCTACCCGTCCAGGCAGCCCTAGGTGGGAGGGCCAATCATCATTCCGTTTTGGTAGAGCCCTGGTTGAGAATGGAAAACTGAGGATTGCAAGGCAGAGGTGGGGTGGGGTAGGGTCGGGTGGGGAGGATCAGAGGCCTGCGAGGTCACACTACCAGGAAGTGGTAGAGTCCTGATTTAAATCAACACAGTGGGGCTCAAACTCCATGCACTTGGCCAGTACTGGTCTATGGGGGGGGGGCAGATTTGGCAGGAGCAGGTGGATGACACCCCTACACTCACGGAGCTCAAGCTGGTGGGGCAGACAGGAAAAGGAAACCAGCAGAAATAATAAGTAAGAGCTAAGACAGGTGGAAGCAGGGTGCAGTGATGGAAAAAGAAAGGGCTGGGGCGGGGTGGGGGGTGGGTGTTCAGCTTCAGTGATGGCTGGCAGGCTTCTTGGAGGAGGAGCATTTGGCTGAGCTCTGAGGGAACCATGGGAGGGATATAGAAATTCAGCACCTTTATAAAGCCCTCTAATCAAAACCTGGTGGGAATCATGTGATAAAGGCCATCCAGGCCACATCGCACTCAGAATGCCCTTTAAAAAATCAGAATATTACAAGTGTTGGTGAGGATGTGGGAAAATGGAACCCTTGGGCACTGGTGGTGGGATTGCAAAATGGTGCGGCTGCTATGGAAAACGGTACGGAAGTTCCTCAAAAAGTTAAGCACAGAATTACTACATGACTTAGAAATCCCACTTCTGAGTATACACCAAACGAATTGAAAGCAGTCTTGCCTGGCCAGCGTGGCTCAGTGGTTGAGTGTCCACCTCTGAACCAGGAGGTCAGGGTTCGATTCCCGGTCAGGGCACATGCCCGGGTTGCAGGCTCCATCCCCAGTGTGGGGCATGCAGGAGGCAGCTGATTGGGGGTTCTTTCTCATCATTGATGTTTCTATCTCTCTCTCCCTCTCTGAAATCAATAAAATAGATACATATTTTTATTTAAATCTGTGGCAATGTGTTTTCTCTCCCGTTATATTAAGTGTTGACCTTCTTTCCTTAATTTTACCTGAACTACCACCTATCTGGTCCTTTCTAGAACCGGCGCTGGGCCGGGCGAGGGGATAGACAATGCTTTGATAGTTTTCACTCCAAACCTCTACCGAGTTCAATTGAAAGTTCTAGAGGCTGGACTAGGAGCAAGCCCAAGGGTGTAGACAGGAAAGGTATGCTGGGCAGTAAAAATCCAGCAGGTGGCTCAGTGAGGAGCGGGCTTCTAGTGGTCAGTACAGAGCGGACCCCCGCCAGGCCCGTCCGACTCACCCAGGCCCCGGAGCTCCACGGCCGGGCGGCACAGCTGGAGGGCTTCTCGGACCAGGCCCACCTCGGGGCAGTCCACGTGAGGGGCACACAGGTCAAAATCGTCCAACAGGCTCTCGATGCCCCCGGAGACACCTCGGCAGGAAATCCAGCTCATGCTGCCTGTGGGGAGAAGGGCTGTGAGGCGGGCTCCCAGGGCTCCTCACTCTTGCACAGCTGACACGGGGTCCAGTGATCTCTGCGGCGGGCAGTCCTGTGCACTGCAGCGTGTGGAGCAGGATCCCTGGTCCCCAACCACCAGAGGCCAGTAGCATCCCCCGAGTCATGATGATCAAAAACATAAACATTGGCAAGTGTTCCCTGGGGGGCTGAATCACCCCTGGTTGAGAATCACAGGGATGAATGAGTGATAGAGAGAAACATACTTACATACATACATGCAGACATAGATACATATATACATATATATACATACATACTAGTAGAATAGATTCATACATACATACATACATAGAATAGATAAATAGATGGATAGACAGAAAGATGGATAAATAGATAGATGACAGATGGAAAGACAAAGATGACAGACATAGAAGATAGAGATAGAAATGATAGACAAATATAAATGGTAATTAGAGATAGAGATAATCCTATATAATAAAAGGCTAATATGCAAATTGCTGAACGGCAGAACGGCTACGATGCGCCGATGCCGGGCTCAGGGCTGGCGAGCACAGTGGTGGTGGCGGGAGCCTCTCTTGCCTCCTTGGCAGTACTAAGGACCCCTTGGGGGATGTCCAATTGCTGGCTGGCAGTTGGACATCCCCTGAGGGGTCCCGGACTGCGAGAGGGCACAGGCCTGGCTGAGGGACCCCCCCTCCAATGCATGAATGTCATGCACCAGGCCTTTAGTATATAATAAATAGACAAAAAGAAAGATAGATGGATAGACAATAGATGGATAGATAGATATAAAGATGATATAAAGACGTAAATGAGAGATAGAGATAGAAATGATAGACAGATATGACAGGTAGATATGATTGAGGAACAGATATGACAGAACGATGGTAGGTAAACAGATAGAGACAATTGCTATGTTGATAGACAGACAGGGTCACTCTCATTCTAAGGCTGACTTCCTCACCCTCTGCACTATCAACTAGCACTCAGGGCCAATAGCACCCCCTCCCTGAGCCTTGACAACAAAATATCTCCAGGCATTGCCAAGTGCCCCTGAAAAGGGGGCACAGAACCACACCAGGTGAGATCCGGTGCCTAAGAGAAGCCAAGGACGTTGACTTTTGCCCTTCACTCTTCCCAGGCTCTTGAAAGGGGTAGCACCGTGGAGGGTCGAGACCTGCCCAGGGCTTACCCAGCACCTCCTGCTTCAGCTCCTCGAGGCGGCCCGAGTGGAGCAGGTGATAGGGCAACTCCTTCAGCTTCCGCAGGTTTGCAACAGTTTCCGAGAACCACAAAGGCTGGGGGGCCACCTGCAGAGGAGGAGGGGATGGCAGGCCAGGCCGGGCACTGTGTGATGCTGGAGGGAACGGGGACACAATTCCAGACAGAGATGCCCTAGACCCGTGGTCGGCAAACTGCGGCTCGCGAGCCACGTGCGGCTCTTTGGCCCCTTGAGTGTGGCTCTTCCACAAAATACCACGTGCAGGCGCGCACGTACAGTGCGATTGAAACTTCGTGGCCCATACGCAGAAGTCGGTATTTTGTGGAAGAGCCACACTCAAGGGGCCAAAGAGCCGCATGTGGCTCGCGAGCCGCAGTTTGCCGACCACTACCCTAGACCCACCACAAGTTGTGCTGGGGCAGAGGGAGGGATGTGGGGTTCTGGGAACCCAAGGGGCATGAGAGCAGAGGATAAGTAGGAGTCTGTCTGGTGAAATGTGAGGGCAAACAATGGGATTCCTGGGCAAGGGAATGGCATGGGCAAAGGTCCAAAGGTGAGAGAGAGCAGAATGAGAGTTTGGGGAGGGCTGAATTATAAGGCACAGTGGGCAATCATGGTGGGAAAGAGACTGGGGAGTTTGTAAGCAGAAGATCATGAATATCAGGCTGGGGAGGTTGGACAGGACACAGAGGGCACTGGGGAGCCATGGGAGGTGTTAGAGGAGAGGCATGATCAGGCTGCATTGTCAGAAGCAGTCCTTGGGAGGATGGACTGAAGCAGGAGGTCCTGAGGCTGGGAGGCCAGGAAGGAGTACAGACCACGTCCCAGAGGGAAAGGATGCGACAGCCTGCAGGGGTTCTGGCACACGGGAGAAGACCTGTGAGTCCCGAGAGAGGAGAAAGGGCAGCACCGAGAAACAATCAGGCCTGGCCCTGTCTCTGGCCTCCCCTGTCCATCACGGGGGACAAAGAAAAAAGAAAAATCTATGACAACAGAAGACTTGCAAGTGTATTTGCTAGTTGCAATCAATGGGCTGCAGTTATGGAAGATGTTAATGTGGGGGAAATGGACAGAGGACCCCATGGGAAGTCTCTGTATTCAATCTGCAACTCCTCTTAAATCTAAAATGATTTCAAAAATCATTTTAAAAAATGACTTTAAGAAACTTACAAGTTCTGCCTCAGAGTGAAGGAAACACAAAGTAAAGACCAAGTAATTGAGAAGGAAGAAAAACCTGGAAGGCTTCCTGAAGGAAGAGGCATTTAAGCTGTGCCTTGAGGTGTTTGAGAGGCAAAAAAACAAACAAACAAACAAACAAAAGGAGCAGGCAGCACATCAGCTAAAGATGCCAAGTCTTAGAGCTCCTGGGCATAAAAGAAGAACGACTGGAAGGAAATGTGTGAATAGTGACTTGGTCTTGCCCGCACAGCCGGGTGGAGGTTGAAGGTGGGGAACAGGGGTGCAGACACCTCACCTTGCGGTCCAGGTTCAGGGGCTTCCCCACCAGTGGCAGGGTGATGAGTTTCTTGGTGCCCTGGCTCCAGGCTCCCAAGAAGAAGTCAGCCAAGATTCCGTGCCTCGTGGCTTTCTCGGGCCCCGACAAGTAGCGTTCCCGGACCACCTCAGCCAGCTGTCTGCAGAGAGGGGACATGGGCTGGTGGGCCTGGGGGCCCGGCAAGCTCGGAGCTGTCAGGAGACAGTTCCCAAATGCAAGTTCACCCTAAATCACCATCCAGATGCTCACTAAGTCTTTTGACCACCTGTCCTATTTGCTACTTAACATTTATCTCTTAATCTACCCATCCCCCCCCACCCCCTCAAATAAATTTACTTAAAAAGGAACCTTTGGACTCCTCGTGTTAAACATAAACTAAGTAATTGTATGACCTAGCAATTCTATTCCTGGAATTATATACAGTATATATGCAGTATATATGCAGTAGATATATTCTGAGTATATACCAAGAGAATTGAAAAACTTGTACACACAAGTTCACAGCAGCACTATTCACACTCGCCAAAAGGTGGAAGCAACCCAAATATCCATCAGTGGATGAACAGATAAGTAAATGGTGATGCATCCATACAACCATAAAGAGGAATGAAGCCTTGACACGTGCTGTAACGTGGATGAATCTCGAAAACATGATGCTGAGCGAGAGAAGCCAGACACAAAAGGCCACATGTTGTGTGATCCCATCGATATAAACTGTCCAGGCCAGGCCAGGCGCAGAGACAGAACGTGGGTTAGAGGTTGCCAGGGGCCGTGGGGGAAGTGGGGGTGACTGCTCATGGGGCCGGGGTCTCCTTTGGGGTGATGAACATGTCCTGGAACTACTTAGAGGGGATGGTTGCAAATGCTGTGAATGTACTAAGTGCCACTGAATTGTACACTTAAAAATGGTGACTTTTATGAGTGAACTAGAGGCCCGGTGCACAAATTCATGCACGCATGGGGTCCCTTGGCCTGGCCGGTGATCAGGGCCACCTTGACCAGTCCCAATCGGGGGTGGCTGGGGAGGGACCTAAGGAGGGCTCCAGGGCGTGTCCAGTCTATCTCGCCCAGTCCTGATCGGCCGGACCCCAGCAGCAAGCTAACCTACCGGTTGGAGCATCTGCCCCCTGGTGGTCAGTGTGCATCATAGCGACTGGCCGAGCAGTAGACACTTAGCATATTAGGCTTTTATTCTATAGGATTTCTCCTCATAAAAACCACGTTAGTTGTGTTAGAGTCGGGGCATGGAAACCCTTGAATGCTGGACCACATGGACTTGACCCCTGGGGGTGGGGAGAGGAGAGGATCTGGACCGAGGAGGAGCCTGGTCAGTGAGCTCTTGCTCTGGGGCACGCAGACAGCGTGGCCTCGGCACTGGACCCACCTGTGGGCGACGGCCAGGAGTGTGAAGCCATCCACAGGCCGCCTGGCCAAGCAGTTGCCCAGGTCACGGCGGAGCCTCACCCACAGCAGGGGTGGGAAACGCAGCAGCTCCTTGCTGGGCGGGGTCCAGTCCTGGTACACAGCCTGCAGGACCTCATCATCCAGGGACAGGACGTCCTTCAGCTCAGCCTCCGAGAGCCCGTGGCTGCAGGAGGAAGGACGGGAAACACCCCTGTGGCTCCTGCGCGTAGAGGACGCAGACACCAGGGGATAGAGGGACATGGCCAGCTGCACGGTGTCCTGCCTGACACCCCGGGGATCAGCGTTTGGACAGTGCCCAGGCCCAGTGGGCACCAACGCCTGGTTCCAGCTGTACCCATCACTTAAGATCTTTCCTGACCTTTCCTTCTGCCTCCACACAGCTACAGAACCTCAAACCACCCCCTCCCCAGGGGAGCATCGGGAGGGAGAGAGGAGGTAACTTTGGAAAATAATGCAGAAACCAACTATGCCCACCCCAGGCTACCCCATATTTCCTGGCCGGAGAAAGGGCTGAGTGAGAGAGAGGGAGAGGCTTTACATGGGGCGATCGATCGTCTGAAGTTTTGGTGCTGAACTGCGTGGACTTTCCAACACCTTCGAGCGTGAGGGCTTCGCAGGGACGGAGACTGTCAGAGTTCATTTCGGAGCAGGGGAGCGCGGGAGGCTGGCGTCTGCTCGCACCTCACTTACAAACTCGTGTGGATTTTTAAAAAAATTCTGTCATGTTGAGCAAAGTCTTTGTTAGGGTCGATCAAACCAAAGGGTCTTCATTTTGATCAAGACACTTGCCACATGCTTCACATACAGAGATTACCTACTCAGAATTCTCTGATGCATGACAAGGTGGGTATCAACAGGAGAGAGAGAGAGAGAGAGAGAGAGAGAGCAGAAGGGTCTCTCAGGCTGAGGCGGACTTCCTCACACTCAGCACTGCTGACATGTGGGCTCCATCATTCCCTGAGGGGTGTCCTGTGCACGGCAGGGTGTTGAGCAGCATCCCTGACCTCCGCCCATTAGATGTCAGTAGCAGCCCCCTCCCGAGTTATGACAACAAAAATGTCCCCAGGCATTGCCAGGTGTTCCTGGGGGCGGGGGTATGTGTGGAGAATCTCCCCCGTGAGAACCGCTGGCCTAGAACAACTCCTCAGATCCGTCCTGGGGGCGGAGCTCAGCTGGGCTGCTGGGTGCTGTGAGGGGAACACACTCCTGGCTCCACCATCACACCAACGACTCCGTCTGCAAACAGCATATGTTCATTGAGCTGGAGGCACTGAAGTCCCCTCCCCTGCAGTCACCATCCTTCTACC